TATTATTTTTATTTTATGTGTATGAATATATTGCCTGTACATGTGCAAGTGCACCCGTGTTGTGCAGTGCCCTCAGGGGTCAGAAAAGAGTGTTGGAGCCCCTGGAACTGGAGTTAAAGATGGTTGTTAGCTGACATGTGGGTGCTGGGGATCGAGCCCAGGTCTTCTGCACGAGCAACCAGTGTTCTTAGCTGCTGAGCCATCTCTGCAGTCCCCCTCTTTCTCTATAGAAAATTTCTAGTACGGGACACCTCTCAAATGACTTTACAGTGTAGTTTTAAATGTCCTTTCCTGAGCTTCCAGCAGATGGCAGTCTTACCAAGCCGAAAGAGGTCTTGCTTTGGCAATCCCAAGGTGGTTTTTCTAGACAGTCCCTTCCCGTCCTTAGCCTTTTTACAAACTCATTTATTTTGGATAAGTACAATTCATTTTTCCCTGATTATCCGAGTATACATGCTTCTTGTTCAACATTTAAAGCATGTACAACAGGAAACAACATCCTCTCTACACCCCCTGGTAGACCTCAAGAGACTGTTGTAACAATTCAGCATATACCATATTCTCCAGACCCTTCCTTAGCTAATACACACAATAAATGCTGTATACAAGTAAAAACCTAAATTTGTAAAATTTTAGACCTCAACATAACTGCGCACAATATGTCTTTTGCTGTCTCATCTTTTACTTGGGTTTTTCTTGAGTGACTTATTTTCCCTGAAGACATTTTTATATTCCATGTCTTGCAGAATCCAGAGGGGCCTTTCATGCTGTCCTCAATCAGGGATTGTGGTCTGGTGATTGAAGCTGGAGTCTCATAAGTTCACTGCTGAGGTCTGAAAATTTGTGTTCTCCCCATATATGCATATTAAAATCTAATCTCCAGTGGGATGGTATCAAGAGGAGGGTCTTAAGGGCAGAGCTGTGGTAGATGGGATTAATGCCCTTATAGAGCAGAGTCTCAGGGCATTGCCTACCATGTGCAAATGTAACAAGAAGACACTGTTTGAGAAACAGAAAGTGGGTCCTGGAAACTGTGAGAAATTAATTTCTATCATTTATACACCCCTTTAGCCTAACGTATTTTGCTACGGCAGTCCAAACCAACAGCTGTGCTAGCTGTATATATGGCAGTGAGTATAGGGCAATGCGAGTTTCAATAAAAATCTAAGGCTTCCTTTGTTAAGTGGAGGCTGTAGAATATTCCCACAGAGACAGCAAGAAAAGGACTATTTGAAACTTGCTGCTGTTCTGTAACATCCCAGGCACTGGAACCTCAGTGGGAGATTTTAAGAAATTGTTGACCATTTTTTTAAACAGCCCCTCCCTCCATTGTATAACCTTGAAGACAGCTGACATCCCTGAGACCAAAGGCCAAGGTGCCCTCTTGTTCTCGTATGTTCATTGTACAAAGTGGTGGGTTTCACAATGACATTTCTATTCAGTATACTATGTACTTTGATCATATTCACCCCCAATGGCCCTCTCCTGTCTTCCCCTTCCAGTTCCCTGCCAAGATGGCTTTATACAACTTGGGTTGGGTTAGGGTTCAGATTGGGTTGGACAGAGTTTGGGTTAGGGTTGGGTTAGGGTTAGGATTGGGTAGGGTAATAGTTGTGTTGGGTAAGATTAGGGTTATGTTTTTGGTTGGATTGGGCACAGTTAGTGTTGGGGCTGGGTTAGGATTAGGGTTAGATAAGGTTAGGGTTGGTTTGGGCTGGGTCAGGGTTAGTATTGAGTTGAATAGAGTTAGAGTTAGGGTTGGGTTGGGGCTAGGATTAAATAATTTTAGGGTTGAGTTTGGCAGGGTTAGGGTTAGCATTGAGTTAACTAGAGTTAGGGTTAGGGTAAGTATTGAGTTGGGTACAGTTAAGGTTGAGGTTGGGTTAGGGTCAGGGTCAGGGTTAGGGTTAGGGTCAGGGTTAGATAGGGTTAGGGTTAGGGTTAGGGTCAGGGTCAGGGTTAGGGTTAGGTCAGGGTTAGATAGAGTTAGGGTTAGGTTGGGCCTGGTTAGGGTTAGTATTGAGTTGGGTAGAGTTGGGTTCGGGTTAGTGTCATTTCCTCCCACTTGGGTGTCAGGAGGTGAGGATCATTCAGATTGTTATGAAGGCTACCCCAAGAAGAAATCAGTATATAGATAGCATTTGAAGCCATGAGATTAGATGAGATTTCCTGGGGAATGAGTGTAGAGGGAAGCCAGAATGCTGGAGCCAACATTCCAAGGTCACAGAGAAATGTCTAAGAGATAGCTACCACTAGGTCTCAAACAGTTATATGGGGTTGTGTGTACAAAACAAAGGAACACTGAGAAACCAAGACACCTGGTGGAAATGACCACTGGATTTAAGTTCAAGCACACCCTTTTTGAAATCATTTGAGTTTTCCACCATTCAGATGTAACTGTAAGGAAAACAGATGCTATTTAAAGCAGTAACTATTAGCAGGCACTATGGAATACCATGGCAGTGGCATCATTTATTATGTAGGACTGGGACTGGGGGTCTTGTTCAGGAGCGGACCTTTGAAATTGCTTTGGGTCTGAAAGTTAAGGCTCACCCAAGACATGTTGGAAGGGGATACTTTAACAGAGAGAGGCGAATGAACAGTACAGTAAGATGAATAGAGGATCTGAAGCCATTTAAAAATATGAAAAGGAGGGACTTCAGAAAGCCGAACACTGAAACAAGCCAGCTAAAAAAATGGAGTAATAAGCCTAGCTGAGCTTTATTACTTGATTGCAGAATTCTTCTAGGCACAACTTCTCTCTCCTCTCTCATTTTGATTCCCTTTTTCCTCTTTCCCCTGGTTTTTCCACCCTATTTTGATTTCAGAGAGTGACAACTATGGAACATACACATTGAGTAATTTCAGGCGAGGTGCACAGCTTGGTGGTAGAGCACTTATTTAGTACATCAAAGCCCTGGGTCTGATACTAAACATTTGCAGCAAGCAAACAAACACACAAACAAAGAAATAAAGAAAAAAATAAAACACGCTTCCCTCCCCTCCACTTCCGTTGAGTACTCTTTAAGGGCCAACACTTAACTAGGTTCCTGGATTATATGTAGATTGCCTCATTTAATCGTCACAAAACTGGAAGCTGGGGAGATGGCACAAGTGGATAAGAGCTCTTGTTCTGTAGGCATGTGGAACTGAGTTCGAATCCCTACCACCCAGAAAAAAAAGCTGGTCAGCCATGTGAGACAGAGAGCCCCCTGGCCAGCCAGCCTTGCCTCTGGTTCAGACACAGATCCTGTCTCAAAGCAGAGGTGGAGAGTCACGGTGGAAGGCACTCTGGGTCCTGTTCTGGCCTGCACATGCATGTCTGTGGGTGTGCACACTGCATATTTGCTGGGCATGCAACACACACACACACACACAAACACACACACACACACACACACACACACACACCCCTTCACAAAACCTACCCTGAGAAACAAATACTGCCATCATTGTCTCTTCCACCTTAAAGATAGGAAACAGGTGTGCAGCGTCATTACTTGGTAAGCAGTAGCAGAGCTGGGATTTGAACCCAGTCTGACTTCAGAGGCCTGGGTCTTCATCATTACATTTTACTCTTACTTTCTTTTTAGGGCTTTGAAGTTGGAAACCTAGATCAAACCACCATTTACTCTGGTTTGGACTTTGACTCTCTTCTGTCTGAACTCAGAATTTGACTTCGGTCACTGGCTTCTGGATCTGACTCACTGTAATAAAGCCCCGCCTGAGGACTCAAGGTTGCCAGATAGGGGAGCAAAGCAGGGCTGGTCCCCAGCCTTGGATCCAGGTTCATCCATGTGCTTTGCTTCCTTTCTATCTCCACTGCCTGTTGATTTCTGAACGAAACACTTAATTGCTTCTTAACAACTTTATCATTTCTTCCTCTGTGTGTCCTTGGAACTTTGTGAGCCCTCTGTCACGATGTGACAATGCTTGGTAGATGTTTACCTCTGCCTCAGCTGTGACCCCTCAGGTAAGGACTTGCTCCTACTCATCAGTGAATATACAACTTTCCATGCTACATGGGGGTCATTAAGTATTTATTTCTTTTTATTTTTTTGACAGGGTCTCCCTAGTCCCAGTCTGCCTGGAAGTCACTATATAGACCAGGCTGGCCTAGATCTCATGGAGATCCACTTGTCTCTGCCTCCCGAGGCTGGGATTAAAGGCCTGTGCCACATACCTGGCAAGTATTTTTAAAATATTTTAGTCATAATTTTTATTTTATGTGCGTTGCCATGAATGTAAGTGTACCCATGCTGTGCAATGCCTGTGGAGGTCAGAAGAGGGCATTGGATTCCCTGGAACTGGAGTTATGAATGGTTGTTAGCCACTATGTGAGTGCTGGGAATCAAACACGGGTCCTCTGCAAGAGCAGCCAGTGCTCTTAACCACTGAGCCATCTCTCCAGGCCTCTCAAGTATTTCTTGACTGTATGAAAGAAGGCATTTGAAGATGAATAGAACAACTATTCTCTGTAGTGGAAAATAGAAAATTTCAGCAGCATTGCTGGCTGGTATCAAGAGGAAAAAACTCTTGAAGTAATCTTAATTTCCAACCTCAACATTTTTCTCTTTATGTACTTTATTATTAACATCTCAGAAAATTCTGTCCATGCCCGCGACATTATTGCAGGGATAAAAGAGGCACACACTTCATTTTACTGCCATTCGTCTTTAACTAAAGTTACACTACTCCATCAAAGCTCTGTGATTAAACAAATGGTCCAGGTGACCAGAAGGAAGTTCATGAAAAGACTACTCCAGGTCCAGAGAAGTGTACGGTAATTTTGGTTTGCTGTGACGATCTTCATGGTCACAGGGACTTGTAATTGAATATTGTTTCAGAAGGGCTAAAAGGACTCAGTGTGAATAGAGGATCCACAGAAGAAGAAACAGATGGAAACAGGCACCGAATATCGCATTTTACTCTGAAGGCACTGATTTCTAGTTTTAAATCTCTCACTCCTAAGGAAGCAGCCACAGGAAAGAACTTGTGATTTATATCATTTCTTCAATTTCCTGAACCTGGGATGATACCACCTCACCATTCATCACTTCCTGTACTATTGTCTTGATTTTCCGGGTTTTATTTGGATCTGAAGTTTAAAAAAAAAAAGGAAAAAGGAGGTAAAGGCTAGTGTCTCAAATATCAATCTGAGGTTTATTATTGTTCAATTTATGGTTTTCATCAAACTTAAACTTTCAAAAATGATTTCCATTATAAACAAAATGGATTTTATTCAGTTAAAGTTCATTCAACTAAAAGGAAATTCATTCAATATTGTCTTGTGCGCAGATGAAAAATATTTCCCCTCCCTCTCTCTCTTTCTATCTCTACTTCCCTCCTTCCTTCCCTCCCTCCCTTCCCTTCCCTTTTCTTTCAATGCAGAGCCTTGCTAAGTAGGCCAGGAGGACCTGGAACTCACTATCCTCCTTCTTCAGTTTCCAAGCACTGGGATGACAAGCACGCACAACCACACCTGGTGCATTTTTAAGCACTTAAAAAGTGGTTGTGGCACTCATAATACCTTTGTAGAGTAGGATTTTCCCCCTTCCTGAGCTTGCTGAGTTAAAAAAATATTTGATTTATTATTCTTATCTTATGTGTATGAGTGTTTTGCTTACATGTAGGTAAGTGCACCCATGTTGTGAAATGCCCGGGGCGGTCAGACAAAAGTGTCAGATTCCCTGGAACTGGAGTTATGGATGGTTAGCTGTCATGTGGGTGCTGGGAACCGAACTCAGGTCCTCTGTAAGAGCAGTCAGAACTCTAACCACTGAGTTAACCTTCCAGCTCTGCTGTTGAAAGTTTTAACACACCACCCACTATTTACTTTGTCTCAAGAAATACACGAATTTGCTTCCTTGGCTCAGGATACAAGTTTATTTAAAGGTATTAATAACGTGAAACCTTATCAATGATATTTTGATTTATTTTGTGATGATTCTTATCTACCTACCTTTAGAGGAATCAGTTGGTGGTGCCTGCGATTTGGAGACTGTTACAGATGAACTATCATCAAAACCATCACTGTAAAAAGGCAGAGGATATGTCATCATAACATTTCTGGAATTAGAAATATATGTAGAACTATGGCCCAAACAGAGAGGCTACTCCAAATTTCTTGATTTAAAGGCCATCATGGGGTCAACACACCTTTGTTTTCAAACCCTGTCTACTGTGAGATCTGAAAGGGACACAACCTGGTCTCAGAAATCAGATTTCTTATTTGCAAGAAATTCTTCCCCTCCAGTCCAGGCTGTTGTTTTTGGCAGACTTGCTACTACAGGATCAGGGTGGTTTTGACTGGTTTCAATGTGCACCCTTAGTGTCAGGTCATCTAGAGTCTTCCTAGAACATGAGCCTTGGTTCACTGAAGCATTTTATTAATTATTATCAAGTAAGATAATAGCTGGACACATTTTATATAGTATTTAATAAATTCCATATATGTATTTTCTAGATTTGTTGCTTTATCATCTCCTTTTTGGGGGAGAAAATCTTTGTGCATGTGTACATACATATGTGTATGAGTGCGTGCTCATGTATGTGATCCAGGGGGTGCATTAGCCACTTGGTTGGTGGAGGTCAGAGACAACCTCAGGGGTTGGGCCCCCGCCTTCCGCCTTGCTTGAGACAGGGTCTCTCTTTGCACTGCATTCATAGACTGGGGCTCCCTGGCCCACAAGCTTCTGGGGGATTCACAGCTCATCTTCTCATAGGAATGATGGGATTAGAGACATAATGCTTTATGTGGGTTGTGGGGATCTGAACTCTGTTCCTCATGTTTGCAGACACTGCACCAACTCAGCCATCTCCCTATCCCTCACCCTCTTCCTTGAGATGGTCTCACTATGTAGATGTAGCCCAGGCTGTTCAGAAACATTGGTTCTCCTGCCTCAGAGTCCCAAGTACTGAGATTATAGGCAAGAATTGTTCTTTTCTATCAACTAAAGACCCCTGCCTCAGATGTCCATTGCCTACCAGCTACTGAGGTATTTTCCAACCTCATTGTTGGCTCACCCTTGAGTCTCCCCATCCAGCAGGTGGCGGTAGGTCTCGGTCTCGATCTCCATCTCCAAGCTGACCTTGATGTCCAGCAGGCTGATGGTTAGCGTTCTGGCGCTCGGCATCCGCACGCATCTGTTGCAGCTTCTCCTCCAGGCTCCGGATAAGCTGCTGCACCTGGGACACCTGGCAGCAGTAGCCGCCCTCGGTTTCAGCCAACGAGTCCTCCAGAGACTTCTGCAATGGGAGAGAAATGGTAGACAGGATGGTGGAAGGGAGTGGAAACAGGAGGGCAGCCCACGGACTAACATACCGTGGGCGCAACATTTTCTTAGGATGTGGAGAGGATGCCGCCAGCCTACCAGGGCGAGCTGGGACTGGGGCTCGATCTCCAGGTTCTGCATGGTGCGCCTCAGGTCGGTGACCTCGCTCTTGCTGAACTGGAGCTGCTCGGTGTTGCTGTTAATCTCTGTCCTGAGTTCCCCACTCTGCAACAGCAGAGAGGGTGTGGGGGGAGTTGAGGGCTGTGCCGGCTCGAAGGGCTTTCTGGAGTGTACCAAAGTTTCCGATTGGGGGTTACCTTTTCAAGGAACCAGGCCTCTGCATCTTTCCGATTTTGGTCAGCCATAGCTTCGTGCTGGGCCCTCATTTTGTTGAGGACCCTAGTGAGGTCCATTCCAGGGGCAGCATCCACCTCTACATTGACCTCACTTGGACCATCCGCCTGGAAACTTTGAAGCTCCCAGGGACAGCAAACGAGAGCGAGGAGGCAGGGGTTCTCGGTGACTAGTGGGCTCCAGATACTTTTGCTTTCTTGGGTGTCTTCACTCATAATAATATTAAAGAAATAGCTACTAAACTTTAACAAGAAGCACCATCAACACCACCAGCAGCAACAACCGAGAGAGAGAGAGAGAGAGAGAGAGAGAGAGGACAGAGAGACAGAGAGACAGAGAGAGACAGAGAGAGAGAGAGGGGACAGAGAGACAGAGAGAGACAGAGAGACAGAGAGAGAGACAGAGAGAGACAGAGACAGAGAGACAGAGAGAGAGAGAGAGACAGAGAGAGACAGAGAGACAGAGAGAGAGGACAGAGAGACAGAGACAGAGAGAGACAGAGAGACAGAGAGACAGAGAGACAGACAGAGAGAGACAGAGAGACAGAGAGAGAGACACACACAGAGAGAGAGAGACAGAGAGACAGACAGAGAGAGAACAAAAATCAATTTTTTTTGAGACGGTCTCACTGTAGCCCCAACTGGCCTGGAACTCGCAAAAGGAGGCTGACCTCATTCTCATAGAGATCTGCCTGTGGGCCTCTGCTTCTGGAGTGCAGACATTAAAGATGTTCGGCACCATGCCCAGCACAAATGGTCACTTTCTCATAGAGATAATATATCTTCCAGATTTGCAAATTTGAAATTGCAAATTTGGGGTCTGAGAGAGAAAAAAGAGTGACTTCTGACCTCCTCATGGTTCTTATTCAAGTACACCAGCTCCTTAGTCAGGTCCTCAATCTGTGCCTCCAGGTTGGCTCTGGTCAGAGTCAGCTCATCCCTCACCCTGCGCAGGCCATTGATATTGGCCTCCACCAACTGCCACAGGGCCAGCTCATTCTCATACCTGAAAACTGAGTGCAAATGGTTTAGAGAATCAGTGTATCAATAGCAACCATATTGAGGCTCCTGGCCTCTTCACAGGTATTCGATGGAAGAATCTGTGCAATTGTTTAAAAATAGCACGTGGAGAGCCGGATATGGTGCTGGATGTCTGTAATCCCAGTACTTGGGAAGTAGAGGCAGGAGGATGATAAGTTCATGGTCATTCCCAGCTACATAGTGAGTTCCAGGATTGCCTGGGGTGGGTGTATGAGACCCTGCCTCAAAAACACTGAAGGGAAAATGTTATGCAACAAGTGTATGGTGCAATTTTTGTTTTTGTGACTTTCCATCTCTCTTTTTGTGCTTTTTTTTTTTTGCTCTCTGCTCTGTTGGAGAGAAGAAAAATGAAGAAATCATGAGGTGAGACTTTCTCCCAGGAATGGCCCCCACAGTGATGCATCCCCGGGAGTCGGCTCCCTTGGCAGCTGCTACCTGTGAACAGTAGCAGGAAATAGAATAATGGTTATACTTTTTGCTTAATTTTCTTTGTGATCTAAAACCTTAATATTTCTTGAAGAATTTTATTTATTTTTTATGTGAATGAGTGTTCGGTCTGCATGTATGTAAATGGGACCCATGCCCAAGGGGGCCAGAGAGGGTATCTGATTCCCTGGAACTGGAATTATGGACAGTTGTTAGCTGCCATGTGGGTGCTGGGAATCAAACCCAGGTCCTCTGCAAGAGCAGCCAGTGCTCTTAACTGCTGAGCCATCTCGAGTCCCACCTGGCTATTTCTTTAGTAGCTTTTACCAGAACTTTACAATCCATGTCACTGTGATTTCCTGTGGGGACATTTTGTAATGCAAAGAAGAAAATTGATTTTTTAATCCTTCTGTCTGGAAGGGTGGGGTATGGGAAAGGACCTGAAATAAACGCACAGCTAATCTTTCAGGTGATGTGTCATCAGGGCAACAATCGCTCCATTTAACCCTGTGGCAAAAATATTGTTAATCGTTTTGATGCATTGAAAATTCAGGTTTAAACACCAGTATAAAGATCATGTTGAATTATGAGTCATTACAAAAAGATGATCCGTAGCTGTAGGTGTAAGTAATTTACAATTTAAAGGTGTATAATATGAACCCTGTTTGACTTGCCTGGCTTTTTAGAATGTCCTGTGTGCATTTAAGAGAACACGGAAAGTGTGTGTCATGTGACATTCAGAAGGTTTGAACTCTGTGTTGTCAGTGGAGGTGGGAAGTTTGGAAAACAAGGAAACGATGGGCTATATCTGTGTTCTGACTCACTTCGGCCTGAAGTCCTCGGCAGCCGGCCTCACATTGTCAATCTGCAGGATGATCTGGGCATTTCCAATGCTGGCAGAAATGATCTGGTAAGGAAGAAGGAGACACTCAAAAATGGAGCCTAAAAGGACCAGTCATTTACAAATGTAATTTTGGGCATTAAGAGAAAATGGTGATGCTAAATACTGCTCCCCCCCACCCCCGTTCAAACTTTTTATTAAAAAAATGAAAGCTTTGATTAACCTTGTCCCACCTTTACTCCTATACCCCCATCCCATCCGTGTTTAAGCTTTCTACACTAGTGCTACCCCCTCTAAAGTCATATGTGTTTTTCTCCCCTCCTCCCCTCAAGGCCTCCCCCCCCCACCATAGCTCTGTTCTTGCTTCTGACCTCTACAAGTACTCACTCCAACTCAAACACAGAAATCTAAAAATTCAAACTAGGATCCACATCTGAGAGAGAACAGGCGATGTCTGTCTTTCTGGGCTTAGGCTACCTCACTCAGTATAAGATTTTTTAGTCTCATCCATTTTTGTAGGCAACCTGTTGGAATATAGCTCAGTGGGAAAGCACTTCCTTAACACACCCCAAGCCCTGTGTTTGATCCCCAGCACCACAGCACAATAACAAAAATAACACAACAAAGACATCCTAAGAGTTTAAGACAGCTTCATTTTTAAAAGTGAATGTATTTATAAAAAAATGTTGGAGAATTAAGAAATGTACAATTCTTGAGATTGGGAAATTCTCCAAGTACACATCCTAGTTGAAAAATTTCTAAGTTGTAGGTGATTATTACTATAAAATATTGTAGTAATAAAAAAGAAAAACTTCGGGCGTGGTGGCGTAAGCCTTTAATCCCAGCACTCGGGAGGCAGAGGCAGATCTCTGTGAGTTCAAGGACAGCCTGGTCTACATAGTGAGTTCCAGGACAGCTGGGGCTACAGGGAGACCCTGTCTCAAAAAGACCAAAAAAAAAAAAAAAAAAGAAAAAAAAAAAGAAAAACAATTTCCAAAGCCTCTTCCCCAGCACCTTTTTGAAATCCGGCTCTTACCTTATTCTTGAGGTCTTCAATCATTGGGTTATATTTACTATAGTCACTCTGTGACCCGGAGTCTCCAGTCCTTTGCAGTTCGCACCATTCTCGGATTTTGCTTTCTAGCGCTGCATTAGCCTCTTCTAGAGCTCGGACCTTACCCAGGTAGGAAGCTAGTCTATCATTCAGATTTTACATGGTTTCTTTTCCGGATCCATAAGGAAGCTCTCCATCATTGCCAGAGAGGATACATGCAGAGCCACCTCCTGACCCACCAAATCCCATTCCCAGCCCTCCAAAGCCACCTCCCAGGGGTCCCCAGTAGCCGGTGCCAGGTCCTGCCAAGGAACCAGTGCCAAACATGGAAGCAGCAGCTGATAAGCCTCCCTCACAACCAACTCCACAGCCAAAGGTACGTCCCCCGTAGCCATTTGCAAGGCTGGCAGCAGACATTCTCTGAGGTCTGCCTGCCATCTTGCTCTGCGAGGAGAGCCTTCGGGACTGCCCAGAGGTGCGCACTGAGAGCGACATGGTGCTGCTGGAGAGAGGTGATGACCCCAGTGAAGGTGCGTGCCAGTTCACCAGAGGGGTCGTATTTTATAGGCCGTGAGGTGGGTGTTGCAGTTGCAAAGTTCACTCCCCATTCCAAGCAGGATGCCTACCCCCACCCAGTCAGCCAGCTCAGCAGGTATGTGATTTATGCATAATGAAAATTCAGTGATATAGCTATAATTGAATAATCATTTTCATTAGATATCTGTCACACAAAAAAGAAGGCTGGGTGGAGGGGTTAGGCTGTCATAAAGCATTTTTCAGTTCCGAATGGATTCCTTGCCTACACTCTCAGCACTGGCCTGTGTCTTCCATATCACAGGAAAGCAACACGATGGTGGTGGGCGAGTTACTGAATCCTTAAACCTTAACACTTCTTAATGCTCATCTTCCCTGTTTATTTCCTTTGGAAACACAGTGCCAGCCATCCAGTCACGACCAGTTTCTTTTGGTAGAATATTGTTTCAGAAGTATCTACAGAATGCATTGGTGGAGGATGGGGAATAAATAGCATTTTCCAGATTGATACTGGAATTGGAGTTTTCAAGGCTTAAAAAATGTTTGCCATTTGGATGTTGCACGAATCCTTTCTTTTTGACTCAGAAAAGCAAACTGAATAAACATGGAAAAATACTGTTGGGAATAAAGCATTATAATTGCTTTTCAGCCTCTTCTTTACATGAGAACTGACCTTCTCAGTAAACCGTGAAACCAGAGTTCTTGTCTGGATGTCCATAGTTCTGTTTATTCCTTCAACAGCTATTACCCATAATAGTTTGAAAATATGTTGACTGGATGGATTGAGTATTACTTATGTCTTATTGCCGTTATCAATAAATGCAAAGAAAACCATGATCCAAATTAAGAAATGATTGAAACTCTAAGCTTAAGAGGCCAGTGAGCCACTTCCGCTAGCTGCTATGATGGAAAGAGACAACTTCTGCAGTGTAAATCTTATAAAATTCATATGAAAGCTTTGGAAGGGTTGCTCCCAAGCGTTTTAGCCGGTGTCTTTATTTTTTTTAAACAAAAGCTCTTATTGTATTTTCTTCTCTGATAATATATTTTACCTCTGAAATTGATATGGTTTATATATGGGTCTCAAAAACAAGAGTGTTTGATGGGAAGAACATTCACTCACTGGAAAGAAGCCTGCTTTTGAAGAGAAACTAGATGTCTGGAAACCCATCAGTACAATTCCCGGGAATGGAGAGGTCTTTAGTAATTTAAGCTCTGGGCATTTTGATGGGGTGAAAAAAGAGAATGTTTCCCTTACACATTTTCCTTGAGGTGATGGGTCAAGCTTTACATTCTTCATTCTGAAGTGTTACTCAGATCTTCATTACCAGCATTTTGATGCGGCCTGTCCTTGCTTGAACTGACTTCAGTTATCTTGTTCTTCCTAGTTTCCAGACCCCGGACTAAGTGGGGCATAGACATTATCTTTTTAGCTTTTGTATGAAGCCTGAGGAGGTATTTCTATCTCATTTTACAACTGAACAATCTCAGGGTCAGGAAATTAAATGATTGATGTAAAACCACTTATTTAAGGCACAGGTACAATTTTGATCTGCAGTACATTCTAGAGCTAGCCTAACTCTGTGACTGACAGTGAATATAGAAAGAACCCGAAGTGACTTTGGCCTCCCTAATTCTGAGACTGGGTGTCTGCCCTGCACACAAACCGGAAACTTTGACTCTATCCTTTTTAAAAAGGCTTCCTCCTTGAACTTTTTAAGGCGCAGCCTAAGACCTACAAGATAATTTTCCATAGTTTATGATAAATAATGCCACCCAGAATTCTGTAACTGCAGAGGCAAATGTGTCTCTAGTTAGAGTTTTGACCTCTAATCTCATCTTCAGACATACTGTAAAACATGCATGAATTTAATATTGTGGTTACTAACTGTATTATCCACTTGCAAGCGATACTCTCCAAAAATTAAGTGGCTTCATCTTTCCACTATAGACATAAAAGCAGAACCTATTACTATTTGCTCACAGAGTCAAAAGGGTTGGATCAAAATGAAAATGATAACTTAGCAATTGTGACCACCCAATAGGGCGATAAGACTAACAAGTACTTTTGAATTTGGAGCCAATTTGTGGGAAAATGAATATTTTCCGACCCTAGTACTTATATGTACATTTTAAATCATTTTGTCCCATCTCTATATATTAGGTATACATGATTTATATTTATGTCTTTATAAATAGACAAGTTTTTTAGGTAGAGATCGGGTGTCCGACTGACTTTTTGTTCAAGGTCCTAGCCTACTGCTTGGCTATCTTTCAGTGCTACACCCAGGGTTGTTTCATTTGAAAGAAGCTAATTCACAAAGTGTCACTGAAAAATGCATTTTACTTAAAAATGGTTATGCCAGGGCTGGACAGATGGCTCAGTGGTTAGGAGCACTTGCTGTTCTTGCAGGGGACCTGGGTTGAATCCCAGCACTCACATGGCAGCTATCGACCATTTTTAGCTCCAGTTTTGGGGGAATCTGACCCCCTCTTCTGACCTCCACGGGTACTGCATGGTATGGGTGCACTTATACACTTGCATATGATCCATTCAAAATGAAACAATAAATAAAATATTTTTAAAAATGATTATGCCCTAATTTACTGGTGTGCTTGACTGAGATCTGCTCTGACTCCAAGTTGGAGAGATGTAGTTCTTCAATGGCTGTTTCGGAAGGGGTCCACTATGTTAATCCACCCTCATGGGCATGTCTGTTCACTCAATTGGTTGGAGGCCTGTGTTAATAATCATCAACCTCTGTCTTAGTGGTTTTTGAAGCGAACATAATTTTCTTTGACTACCATGTAAATGGATCATCAGAAAGAGACGGTTAAAGCAAAACCAATCCTGGGCTTGTTAGCAAAGTGACTACATAAGTTGAAGCACAGAGAGAAAAGACTGAGGTTCGCAAGCGCTGTTAACAAGAATTATGTCTTTGCTGGGTATGGTAGCCAACGTGTATATTCCCAGCACTCAGGAGGCTGAGGCAGGAGGATCTTAAGTTGGTGGACAGCCTGGGCAAACAGGCCAAGGTCACAGGGAAAGAATGAATTTTGTCTTTTTGGATTTTTGTAGAGCACTTGCCTAGTATCCCTAGAACTGCGAAAATGTATATAGTACAGGGTATGGTCGTACATAGCTTTAACTCCAGCATTCATGGGGCAGAGGTAGATGGATATCTGTGAGTTCCATGCCAGCCTCATCTAATAGCAAGTTCCAGGTCAGCCAGGGCTGGGTAGTGAGATCACGTGTCTTAAAAAGTATATAGCATTAATATATACCTTCCATTTTTGAAGAGTTTAGGGAATATTCAACATGGAGAAAATTATGTGCCATTCATAAATCTTTATATTTTTATTAGACATGCACTCATTATCTTCAGATTAGCTTGGTTAATGAGATCTCTGACCTTTGTAAGATTTTTACACCCAAATTCATTCCCTGTAAGTTAAAATTTGTGCTTTCTGCAGTTCACTGGTCATTTCATCTGCACTGTGGGACCTTTTGCTTTGGATAACAATTTAAAATCCTGAGAGTGAGAGAAGAGCATGTTTTCTATTGTGCTTCTGGGCTGAGGGATAAACATGAATTCCAAGGGGGCATGAAGATGAGTTCTGCACCTCAGATCTTGATGGTTCTGGAAAGCAAGGGAGGAGTGATTCTGGAGGTGTAATGTGATGGGAAAGAGGAACAAGATAAAATAATACCCCGAGAAGGGGAATTTTTAAAGTGAGCCCAGAAGAGAGAAAAACAAGTGCTTGAAAGGGAATTTAAAAAGTGGAAACCATTAGCTAATGCTGAAGCTGGAACTGGTATGTGGAGATATAATCAGATATTTGAGAGCATCCAGGGAGCATCACTGGTCATACTGAGGTTGATTCTGATGTCTGATAACATGCTGTCCTATGTCTCAGAATGACCAGTCTCCTCTGGACCTGTATGCCTGTTAGACATAGGACCATGTTGTCCTGGCTCTAAACTTGTGAAAGAAGTCCAAATGATGACCCAGAAATGTACGCCTCCTTCTCTCCCACAGAGAGATCACTGGCAGAATGGGAAGTAGTTCTTATCATCTGGTTCTACCATTATGTGAAGTCTCCCCTCATTTTCTTGGAAAGATTACTTGGAAGAAAACAGAGATAGATCAAAAAGCAAGAGAAGAAAGTTCATTTTCTGATATGAAATTGAGTTAAGAATCCCAATTCTGTCTCTTGTAACTTATTGCCACACAATGAAGGTCATGGCTAATCAATTTCAAGGCCATCTGCTTTTTGTTGTTGTTAGCCAGAGTCATAGTGTTAAGGATTTGCCCATCAGAGTTTCAGACCATTCTGGAATGGTCTCAGCAGATACAAAAGAATTCACCCCTAAGATTTGTCAATATATTTAAAAGTAATTTACTAGCTAGAGTGGTTTGGAAGGAATGTAAGGAAAAAAATGAGTGAATCCTCTTCACTGCTTCGAAAAACAAGAGAATGAAAGCAGATAGAAATGTCTTTCCTGACTGAGTTGTGCTGGGTGGAATTGTGTGTGACGGGAGCTGACGAAGCTGGCCTTTTGCCATGCTAGCTGTTATGTTTGGCCAGCGAAAAATCGCAATTAGAAAACAGCAGCAGCTAAGGAGACATGCCTACTTCAAGGGTGAGTCACGTTTGCTCATCCTGTAATTAGTTGCTTAAGACAAACAGCCCTGAGGTCTGGTCTTTCTCCAAGATTGCTAGCTGACTTTGGAAAAGCACTTCTCTCATATCTTCATATGTAATACTCATGTACGGTGGAGGTAACATCATCGTAAAGTCCAACCATGGGAAAGTTTTAGTTATTATGCCCTGACAAGTTCACATGAATAATTTGTACCTTATAGGATTATTGTGAGAATTAAATAGAGATGTATGAAAGGTTTAGCAATATGTGGTTTGTAGTGAGTGCTCAATCAATGGCAGCTATCATATTTTTAAGCATTTCACATAGCTATTTTCTACAAAATAATCAAATTAAAAATATTTACTTACACGCTTCTGTAAAAAATATTGAGTCCAACTAAGCCTATTAACTAGGAAGTAAATGATAAAGGGAAAATGAGTTTTTTTCCATAAGGCAGTTTTCTCTCACTAAAATGCAAAGGGGGAAGAGAATATTATATATGTTGTCTGTATGTGGCTTCTTTTTTCCCATTTGTCATGTTGTGTGGCATGCATGTGTGTTTACGCATGTCTGCAAGTGTGTGGGTGTCAGTGAACATGGGACTGAGGTTGATGTTGAGAACCCTTCTCAGTTGCTCTTTCACCGTGTTCATTGAGGCAGTGTCTCTCAATCGAACCCAGAGCTTGCTGATATGGCTAGCCAGCTTGCTCTGCTTTTCCAGGCTGGAATTAGAGGTGATGCCCACCTGACATTTGAGTGGGTTCTGGGGATCTGAGCCCCAGTCCTCACATTTGAAGCTCTTTAACCACTGAGCAATCTTGGCCCAGCCCTTGTACATGACTTCTTTTTTTTAAAAAAATTATTAATTTATTAACCACATGCTTAGAAGAAACATTTCATTACAACATCATTGACATATTCAATAACAATTTCCCAAGCTAAAATGCATCTTTTTCAAAATTGGCTGTAAATTTTTAGGTTTACAGTTGAATTATTATAGTTATACAATATCGTACTCAGTATAAACCCTTTAAGAAAAAATTAAATGAGGTTTTAACCTTTAAAAAAGATCTCCATTTCATTATTAAAAGACAAAGTTTCATACAGAAAAATTCATTTTTCATGCAATTGACATTAAGATGTTTGCACATGCGTTTCTAATCTCAATATATCTGTTTATTACTAGTCACAGTCGGTTACTTTCTGAGCTCCTTGGCATCTGAGCATGGATATAAAACATGACTTCTTTTTTAAAAAATGTATTTTATTTATTATTTTTATTTTATGTATATAAGTGTTTTGCCTACATGTATGTAAATGCACCTATGTCATGCAATGCCCACGGAAGTCAGCAAAGAGCATCAGATCCCCTGGAACTGGAGTTATGGATGGTTGTTAGTTACCTTGTGGGTGCTGGGAATCAAACCTGGGTCCTCTGCAAGAGTGGCTAGTGCTCTTAATGCTGAGCCATCTCTCCAGCCCCTGACTTTATTTCATATGATATTTTGATATTTCACTAAGTTAAAGAATATATCAGTACATCACTCCTTTTAATTACTGAATAATATTTTATCATATAGACATACCACCATTTTGCTTGTCCAGCCATTAGTTGGTGACCAGTTTTCTCTCACTTAAATGCAAATGAACATTTGAGCTGTTTCCTCTTTTGAGCTGTTACACATAATGCCACTGTGAACATTTGTGCATAAGTGGCACACAGTAATTCTATTTATATGAAATATCTAGAGTAGGCAGTCCATAGAGAGGGGACTCAGACAAGCAGTTGGCAGGAGGTGGTGGGATAGGGGATAGGAATGACTGCTAACGGGTATGAGGCTTGTCTGTGGGGGTGATGAAAATACTCTAAAATGAGTGGTAATTGTTGTATAGGCCACGACCATGCTGGAGACTGCTAGGCTGTGCGCATCACAAAGGCGGATTTCACGTGTGTGAACTGTAGCTCATTAAAATGAGTCTTAAAAACTGTGAAAGACATTTCATAGCCCAGATCCCTCAAATAAATGAAGAGAACAATTTAAGTAGTTTATTACCAAAGGGAGACACGCTTTACCTTCAGACTAATTTTGCTCTTCGTCTCGTTCCATTTCAAGGACAATGTGCCTCTCTCTTATTCTGCTGAGCATTTCTGATTGGAATTTGTCTCCAGTGACTCAAGGAGCTGAGTTGAGTTATGAGAGGCAGTAGAGACAACCCAGGAAAGGCAAACACAGCTTAAAGGTAACAAAGGCAAATATAGCTTAAAAGTAACAAAATTGTACCCACGCCGAAAATCCAATGAGGTTAACCAGGAAATTGACTCCAAGGAGACTCCATCAGCTCCCCAAAGGAGATTTAGCAATTTAGAAACAGGAAAAACAAAACCTAAACAGAGAACGATTTATTTGCCATTTGTGTGGATTCCTCTATTCACCAGGTTTATTACAAATGAGCTGATCCACAGCGTATAGTAAATGTGCTTCATGATAAAGATGGCAATAAAGATGGTTTAAACATTCTAGTACTCATCGGATTTCAATCTTGAGGCAATTTACAACTCTTTAGAGTAAAACATTGATATTTAATCACAGAGACTGATAAATGGACTCCCCTTCCCACCTTGTAGTCACTACTTGGTATGAATGGTGTTTTCTGACGGCCACTTTCTTGTAGCCATTTTCTTTCAAAACCTGGGCAGCCTCCCCTTCAGAAGCTGGTTAGATATTCTCTTCTATTTCCTTGACTTGAGAGGACACGACCTTGCCATCCACCACTTCTTCCACGACTGTCTTAATCTTCCTGGTTTTCTTTATATCTGTATTCATATTAGACATCAGAGGTTAATGTAGGCACATGACTGTGCTTTTCTTCAGTGACAGTTACCTGGAATCTTCTTAAGATTTCAGCATTATAGAAAACATGCAAAAGTTTAGAACACTTACCTTTCTCTTCCAAAGTGTTTAGCTGATATTGCACAGCTCTGAAAGAAAAAGATACAGAAAGATGCATTATTGCCCATTTCAAAATGGAGGACACACCTCCTTGCCTTTTGAGTTTCAAAGCAAGGTCTAAGTTGATATGTGTTTAGCTGTTATTTTCCTGTTTCTTTCCCTTTGACAATGCTTATTTGCAACTCGAGTGTCCTACTTTTTAACCTGGGAAATACATAGCTTCAAAACTGACCCATTCATCATACACCAGCAAATTCTATAATTGAGAATAAAATTAGAATGGAAGTTTAAATCCTGTGTTCTCTCTCCTATTGATGTTCTTGGCTGCTGTAGTTGAAGACCTTGGCTGCTCCAATTCTGTTGATTCACTAGTTCCCATCTGCAGCCTGTGATCTAATTCATGAGCACTCAGTGAGAATTTTCAGAGTCATTGTAAATCCACTTATACATTCACCATAATAATTAACACAAGCATCATCTGTATCATTTGGAGAATGATTTTCTAACTCAGTCTTGCCACACAACCTCCTATTCAAAGGTCATTCAATTGTTGATATTTTGGTTGTACATGCTTATTGGTTCATTTCTATTTTGGTACTGTTGTTGTGTGTGTAAAATTGCTTTTGTGCCGGGGATTTCCCTGACAGGGCTATGAAACAGAATTGCATGGACACATGTGGCCCGGTGCTAAGAGCCTCACTTCACGTCCTCTCCTTCCAGAAGGCGGCGGTAAGTAGCGATCTCCTGCTCAAGCCGGGTCTTTATGTCAAGAAGAGCATTGTGTTCCTGGTTCTGGTGCTCAGCGTCACTCCGGATCTGCATCAGCTGGGCCTCTAGAGAGCTCAGCAGTCCCTGGATGGTGGCTAACTGGTTAGCATAACGAGCCTTGGTGTCCTCCAGGGCGAGCTCCATAGATTCTTTCTAAGAGCACAAGACAAGGGAAGTGTTCCCTATTTGAGGATTTGATGAATATCCTCTGGGAAGAATTTTTACAGTCTTTGAGAACCACCCATTCTCTCTCTCTCTCTCTCTCTCTCTCTCTTTCTCTCTCTCTCTCATTTTTCCCACCTAGGCAACATCAACCAGTCAACTATGATTGCCAGCTCTTAAACTTTTTTATGTTGGCTGTGGTGGTGTCTACTGTTCCCTCAATATGGTATACTGTGCTACTTTATCAATATGTCCCCACACAGTGAGAAGGTCATACCTCCCATCCCTTCAGCAGGCTAGGCTACTGATTTGTGGTGTCAGTGGAGGATTAGATCTCTCAACCTGTTGAGGCTGGGCTTAGTCACGTAACTCTCTTTGACTGAAGAAATGTAGGTAAAACTGACAAATGTCTTTTCTGAGTATCAGTTCTCAGAGCTGCTCCATAGCTCAACCATTATTGCTTTCTTTCTGCAGTACACTGATATGTCCTAGTTGGGTCTGCTCCTTTAGCCTGACTTCTGAAGTGGAATGTAATGGGGCTACCCCAGGAGCGTTGTTTTAAGGTTCCACAGCATAACTTATCATGGGCTGGTTTGCTTGGCCTGCCATGTCTCAACACCTCTCTAGCTTAAAATCTCATCTCAGGTTTAAGATCTAGTACAACTGCAGCCTCCCCTGTGGAATCCCACAGATCTACTCTTTCCTTTGCATTATATACTGCATTGCCCTTTACTTGATGTCTTTCTGTTCTCCAAATTATTATTAGCTGCCCAACCTGTTTCTTTGTTGGTTCAGCAGGGGAGACGTCATTTCTTACAGGTCTCTGTGTCTCCAGAATCCCAAGCACAGGCCTTAGCAAACACAGACTAGATTGAGCAGCGGAAGTCAGACGGGCTCACCTTGCCGAGCTCGGACTGGAGCTCTGCCTCTAGTTTTTGGTACGTGCGTCTCAGCTCTGTGACTTGAACCTCTGTTTCTTGCAACTCTGTGGTGTTCAGTGTGACTTGCTGCTGCAGAATATCCGTCTGAAATGCCAAAGATTGAAAAATAAAACAAGTAAGGGAAGACAGAAGAGAGAGGAAGAAAGAAAGGAAGGCGTAAAAGGGAGAAAAGAAAGGAGAAGGCAGACAGAAAGGAGGAAGGAAGACGGCAAGAAAAGATGAGCTTTTCTGTGGAGCAGTGTCTGCGTCATTGCTCGTGCTTTCGAATTACACCTTACCTGGCTCTCAAAGTGGTCTTTGGCCTCTTGAAGGTTCTTCTGGGCCAAGACTTCATATTTCTGTCTCATCTCATTCATGATCTCTCCGAGGTTCAGGCCTGGAGCGGCATCCACCTCCACGCTGACGTTGTTGCCCAACTGCCGGCGAAGGGCCTCAACTTCCTACGCACAAGAGAATTCTGCTTGAGTTTAGTCTGAAACATTCTCAGATAAGGCTGGGCGGAAACGACATAAGAAATCTTATAACTTCTTTCATTGTAGATGAATGAAAATGCAAGGGGATAACACCTGCGGGGCTTGCTGTGGGCTCGGCACTGCTTTAGGTCATTTAACTTCAAGCAACCTCACAGAAAGAAGTCAGGGCTGCTGTCCTGATTGACTTCTTAATCCCTGTCGTCGCACCAACCCTGCTTCCTCCTGTGCCCCCTCCAGCTCCTCGTTCCTGTCTCCGGAGCCATCTTCTCATTCCCCATACCATTCCTTGGTTGTTTTCTTACCTCCTGATGTTCTTTTTTGAGGACAGCCAGTTCTTTGCTCAGTTCTTCAATCTGTATCTCCAGGTCTGCCTTGTGGAAGGTCAGATCACCAAAGACCTTATTCAAGCCTTGGAGATCAGCCTCCACGGTTACTCGCATCCCCCTCTCAGCCTCGAACCTGTGAATGAGTTAGTGTTCAGAGATAAGAGAGTCCTTCTGAACCCACTGTAGGAGAAAGAATTTAGTAGAAAGAGATAGCTCAACTGCAATACTTTATAATATGAATGAGAACCTAGGAACCAGATAATTTGCTCCGTAATATAAGCACTGTCACTAGCATCTGAGGTAGCTTTAAAGCAATGACTGTAACTAAGTGGTAGAATTTTAGCACAAGGCCCTGGGTTTGATCCCTAGCCCTTAAGAACAATGAAATAAAAGTTAAAAGGTCAAACACAAACCAATCCAAACAACAACATCAAACAAAAACAAATACCACCCCAAACCAGAAACAACCAAACCTAAAAGTCTGTAAATTCTACAAGATGAAATTATGTTTCATCTTGTAAACAGATGTGTCCAATGTGAGTCATCTCGGTCATAGATTTTCCTCTATAACCTTATATTCCCTCATTAAAAATTTTTAAAAAATTTTATTTTTATTTTATGTGTGTGGAGTGTATTGCCTGCCTGTAGGGTGGTGCACCCACGTTGTGCAATGCCCACAGAGGTCAGAACAGGGCATTAGATCCCCTGGAACTGGAGTTATGAACAGTTGTTAGCTGCCATGTGGGTGCTGGGAACTGAACATGGAGGAGCAGCCAGTGGACTCTGCTGGGCCATCATCTCTCCAGCTCCACAGTCCCTCATTTTAAAAAGACATATTTAAAAAAGAATCAGTAATGCAGTGGAACACTCAGATGCTGACTCCTAGTGAAACGGGAATTAATAAGTTTTCCTGCTTTAATCTTCAGCTTCGCTTTCTAATTTGTTACTTTTTAATCCCTTTTAGCATTCAAACACTACCCTTCTAAACCATGAAGCACTTTTAATGATAATGCATTGTGCAGATTCAGGATGGAGAAGCCCTGCTGTGAAGGAGTTTGGAGGATCAGTCTGATGCCATGTGTGCACTCACTGCAAATACAACTTGAAGTGTACTGATCATCAACTGGGTTAGCTGGATGATTTGTAGAAGCACTAGCAGACTGGAAGGTGGCAATCACCAGCGGAACTCGAGCATGGTCCTTGCAGGAGTGGGGAATGAGTCTGTGGAGCATCACCAATGGAGACCCCAGAACGGCATTTTTGCAGAGAAGGAATTCTAAGTTGCTTTGTTATCACTTTGAATGATAGAATTAGGTTCAGTGGATGAAAAGGCAGACACCGTGTTACTAAAACAGGATATTTTAATATCCAGAGTTGACCAACAAGAACAGAAGCAATTACTTCAGATGTTCAGAAACGAATCTTAGGACTGTGGGAGAGAGGTATCTATCTGAGTGTGATGAAAAACTATTAAAAGGAATTGTTTTTCAGGTTAGTGAAATGGCTGAGTGGGTAAAGGCACTTGCTGCCGAGTGTGAGAGCATGTGTTTGATCCCTGGAACTCACATGGTAAAAAAGAGAGAACTGACTCCCACAAGCTGTCCTCTGACCCCCACATGTATGCTGTGGCACACACATGCATGCGTACATGTGTGTGCATGCACACACAATGAATGAAAGAAATATTGAAATAAGGAAATATGGAAATAAATGAAAGGAATTATTTTTCAGAAAATTCTATCACAGTGTTGGGCACTGTGTGGAATTACAGATGGGAGACATCTGTCATTCCAGGTCTTTAGAGGCTGAGGTGGGAAGATAGTGAATTTGAGACCAGCTTGGGCTACATAGCAAGACCCTATCTCAAAAAAACAAAAGCAAAATGACACTGCCCCACATTTTTACCACTGTTTTAAAGCATCTTACTTCAATCTGAAGTCCTCAGCAGCCAATTTAGCATTATCAATTTGCAGGACGCAACGGGCATTTTGTATCCGAGCATCCTTAATCTGGAAAACGGAAGAGAAAGCATGACATTTTCGACTGGCCAGGAGTTTAAAATGATTTTATTTGGCCTCAGACATGACTATAATTACATCAAGGGTGATATTCATTTTAAGGATTTCCACATGAGACTAGGTAAAAAGAACAATGGCACAGGCATTAAAACAATAGAGACACAAACGGAACTCTTAGTCAGGTCCAGTTTCCAATCCATATCATCAAGCCTCATGAACTGCCTTACCTATGGTGTTCTGCTTCCTGCATTGTGGCTAGCCCTTCTCACCTGGGGAGCTGCTGCTCCTCCTGCTCAAGGGGGCCTCCGTCAACGACATCTTCGGTCTGAGAAGATCATCTTCCTGTGCAGGTGCTGCCTTGCCCAGTCTTCCTGCATTTACCTTTCCATGTGATGGATACCTTTTGTCTATGTCTGTGTCTTCCTAAATCACTTGACTCACCATCCATATTCCCCTGTGCATGATGCTCAGTCCCCAGTTAATGTCTATAAAGTGGCTGAGCACTTGCTGTATGATGGACATTAGACACTAAGACAGCAGGATGGATGAGTCCCGGATCTTGTGTGTGTGTGTTTCACATGCATATGCATGTGCAAATGGAGGTCAGAGGACAACCTTCGGGCCCTTCCTCTATGTCTCCAGCACTGGGACTATAAATATGCACCAACTTCTTTTCCTTTTGACACGGGGTCTCCCTGTAGCCCCAGCTGGCCTGGAACTCACTATATGGACCAGACTGGCCTCAATCTCACTAGAGACCCACCTGCCTCTGCCTCCTGAGTGCTGGGATTAAAGGCGGGTACCACCATGCCTGGCTCCAGCTTTTTAAAATGATGAATTCTGAGGATCAAATTCAGGTTTTTGTTTACTGACTGAATCATCTCCCCAGTCAAGTCTTGGATCTTAATAAGTATTTATTTAATTGGTGAGTTCTTTCAGATGTACATACCTCAGAAGTCTACCTATAGAAGACATTAAAGTGACATGTCCTGGAGATAGAGGTCCCTTGGTAGACTTCCAGCTGGTGGGAACAAATGGCTGTGTCTATGTATTGGGAATGATCCTGCAAGTCAATTCAGAAGCACGAACCCTGAGACATGTTTGGGAGAACAAGTGGTTTGCTTTGAATGTGTTTTATCCAGGACCTGAAAAGGCTGCCCTGTTGATAAGAGGGGCAATTTAAACACTAATGCTTCATGAACTGATGGTTCCTGTAAAGTCTAAATCAAACTGCATTGATGTCTATAATACAATTCATGAAAAGAGGCCTATTGGTAAATCAGCGGTCTTTGTTCTAATGGGATATAAATCTTTAAATACAAGCAAAACTGAAAGGGACATTTCTTGATTAGATAAGGGCATTAAAGCCAAGCATTGCTGTGTGTCATGCTTGACATTGTCATCCAAGGGCAAAGTCTTCTGCTCCTTTCCATGCAGGTACGATAGAGAGCCCCACCTGTCTTGGATGACATAGGAGCAGATTGTAATACGATTGCAATAAATGTGAATTAGGGGCAATAGAACATTTTATTACTGTAGAAATGGCTTTTACACTGCTGGGTGATGGTGAGCAGATTATTAAGCAGGGTGTTAAAAAATCCAGGTGTCAGAGCTGTGCATGGTGGCACACTCCTATAATCCCAGTACTAAAGGAGGTGCAGGCAGGAGGATGGTGAGTTTGAGGTCAGCCTGGGCTCTACAGTGAGATCTTGTCTCAAAACTCCATCCATCCATCCATCCACCATCCATCCATCCATCCATCCATCCATCCTGCATCCAATCTATCAATCAATACAGACAGGTATCATTACTATCTGGATTCTGTCTCCACTCTGAATCCCTTTATTATTTATGTCCATAGTATATTGATACGTGTATTATACCATTTATATAAATGAAAGGGGAAAGACCCCTGAATCATCTAGAGTGTCAAAAGCTAACAGGGAGTAGGTGTAGATCAAAATTTTAGACAGAAGTGTGAGTTAAAGCCATCCTGTTATATAGGTAAATGCTCAGCATTAACACCAGATGATAAGGTACATTTTTTTTCAGTTGTAAATTTCAACCTAATTTGCTTTACCTCTGTTTGGGCTCATCTAGCATATAAACCCTCTTGACATTCCCTCTACCATGCATCTAAGCAGTAAGGTAGAAACGCAGGCTTCATACCTTACCTGATTTTGCAGCTCTGTGATTTGTGCGTAATAGGGACTGTAGTCCCGGATGGTGCTAGGTGCATTGGTTTCGTACCACTGTTTGATCTGGACTTCAAGTCGGTGGTTGGATTGCTCCAAGGACCGCACTTTTTCTAGGTAGCTCGCCAGCCGGTCATTTAGGTTCTGCATGGCGATCTTCTCATTGCCAGCCAACAGGTCCCCTCCGCTGGAGAGATCGCTGCTCACCACGTTTCGCGAGGTGGAGATGCGGGTGCCGTGGCCTCCAGCCCCTCCGTAGACGCTGGGTGCAGCCACCAGGCGCTGCACGCTCCTCTTCCTATACAGGGACCCACTCATGTTGAGTGCTGGGCCCTGCGAGGAGGAACTCAGGCTTCTGTGAAAGCTTCTGCGACTGAACTCCATCTGGGATTCTAGGAGGCAGCACCTGCAGCTTGAGGGAGTTGGGGCACAGGCTTCTGTCTCCTGGTACTGTGAGCTGACCTTTTATAGAGTTCATGAGAAGGCTCCTCCTCTACTGCCATGCCACCCTAGGAATGACACCGTCCACCTTCCTCCTCCCATTTGTGAGGAGGAACTCAGGCTTCTGTGGAAGCTTCTGCGACTGAACTCCATCTGGGATTCTGGGAGGCAGCACCTGCAGCTTGAGGGAGTTGGGGCACAGTCTTCTGTCTCCTGGTACTGTGAGCTGACCTTTTATAGAGTTCATGAGAGGCTCCTCCTTTACTGCCATGCCACCCTAGGAATGACACCGTCCACCTTCCTCCTCCCATTTGCACAGCAGTATGTTTAATTTCATTCCGGAAATTACTACTAGAGGCTTCTTGAAGGCGTTTTCAGGGGTTTGTCACTTGTCTTGATGCAGGCTTCTATAATTGCTCCTTTTCTTCAGATTGTCAGAAATTGCCACATCTTGAAAAGTCCTTGCTTACTTTGTACAGCACACTGCATTTTCAATGAAAGGGAATAACCTACATAGATCCTGAATACAGTCTGGCACGTGTAAGCACCTAGAAAGTGTTAGCTCATCAGTATACCCCTCCATATCTGTCTATTTATTCAGATTAGGGGTTTCTAGATAGCAAATACCAGGAGCTTTCTTTGCCCACTGTCAGAGAGAACCCAGGTACCACCACCATACAAATCTGAGAGCTGCTTCCTCCACAGGGCAAGGGATAAACTACATGAGAAGTGGTATCTTGGGACTGAGCCATTCCTGATAATGATGATTCTGGCAGAATTCATATACATTCATTCTTGTCCCCGAATGGCCAATCTGGGAAAAGTACACTACTCTTAGAGACTGTAATCAAATTGTCTTTTCATTAAATTTTTATTAGGAGCCTGAACTACTAAGCCATTAAGGGTAGTGACAGTGTGGATCCTCTTCTTTAACATTCTTAAACAGGCTTTGTAGCTGAGGGGAGGAAAATCACTCCTACTCTCCTGCTTAACAAGCTACTATCTTCAAGACCTAGCTCAGGGGAGTAGAGAGATGGCTCAGCAGTTCAGTGTAATCACTGGCTACTCTTGCAAAGGACCCAGGTTTGATTCCCAGTACCCACATGGAAGCTAACAACTGTCCTTAACTCCAGTTCGAGGGAATCTGACACCCTCTTTTGACCTCCATAGACATTGCACGATACAGGTGCACTTACATAAATGCAGACAATATACTCATACACACAAAGGAAACATAATATATTAAAATTTTTTGAATTATTTTTATTTATGTGTATGAGAATTTTGCCTGCATGTATGTGAGTACACCACACATGTGTAATGCTCACAGAGGCCAGAAGAGGGCACTGTGTCCTCTGGAGCTAGAGTTACAGATGCTTGTTAGCCACCTTGTGGGTGCTGGGAACTGAACCTGGGTCTTCTATAAGAACAACCAGTACTGTTATCTGTTCAGCCATATCTTTAGCCCACCCATTTTTGTTATATTTTATTTTTATGTTTATGTGTATGAGTGTTTTGCCTGCATGTATGTAAATGCATCACATGTAGCCACCATGTAGATGCTGGGAACTGAGTGTGGGGCCTGTCAGAAACGAAGGGCAATTATTATAAGGCTCACCTATTTAATCCACAAATGTGTGTGGAAACGTTCCCACTGGAAAGCTTCTGTCTATCTCCACAAGGACAGGAGTATTTGCTGTTTTCTTGATATGTCATTGGGTTTAATACTTTGGCAGGTTATTCTGGTTTATAAAGTGACCACAGGAAATCAAGCTAATATTTCATAATACTTCATTTTTTTGAATCATACTTAGGGACTGAATTAAGATCCTATTCACAAAGTCATAAATTTAGATAGAGCCTTTGCTATTTCAGGCTGTTTGGTGACTGTATCTACAAATAGATACTTAATAAATTCCAACTTCCTTGTAGATAGTAGAGGTGCATTTTGACCTCTGAGACAACTCAGACTGAGTGTGTTGATGATTGATATTCAATTTGGACATTAGTTTAGAGAACCATCATAAACCCCACAGCTTTCAGAGGATTTTCTACTTTCTATCATGGAAAAGTTATTTCAGCTCAGATATGTAGACAGATAATCTGTAAGCTCTGGGGAGGTTATCTTCTGGAAACAGGGATATGGAGCAGAGATGAGGGAAATTTGATCATAATGTTTTTGTTGAAGCTGGGAGATGGGTAGGAGGGATTTGATGTAGTAACTGTACACTTAGGTCATTATCTTTTGCCCAGTTAATCAGTATGTTCAAGTTTTGATTCTACTTATCTGGTAATTCTGCCCAACTGTGATCTGCTGAGTTGGTGGATTTGTTGTCTCGGTGGCTATGGAATTATCCCAGTGAGAATGAGACTGTACAGTTATGGGTCACCTAGTGACAAGGACATGTTAGAAATACGCTGCCAGGTGACTTCCTTGTTGCTTGAGTATCACAGAGTGTGCTTACATAAACTTGCATGTTACAGCCTACTGTACACCAACACTTTATGATCTGTAGCATAGATGGTATACATGTACACACACATATATATGTACCACTTATGAGATATATATATATACATATATACATATATTTATACAGCTCCTAGAACCACGATAAACAAGACAACATAAGATTAAACTAGGTGCAAAAGAAGATGGAATCAAGGAACGCAGGGCTGGGGAGATGGCTCAGTTGGTAAAGTGCCTGGCATGCAAATGTGAGGGCCTAAGTGCAGATCTCCAGCACCCATGGAAAAAACTGGGGTGGTGGCTCATGTCTATAATGCTAACATCACAGGGGGAGCTGGGGGAGGGAGACAGGGGGAACCTAAAACTCACTGGTTAGCCAGCCTAGCTGAATTGATGAGATCCAGGTTCAATAGAGAGCGTGCCTCAAAAAAATAAGGTGGAACATGATTGAGGAAGACGCTTAATGTTGACTTCTAGCCTCCACATACACACATACACACATATACACATACACATACACATACACACATATACACACATACACACATACACATACACACATATACACATACACACATACACACATATACACATACACACATATGCATACACACATATACACATACACACATATACACATACACACACATACACAAAGATGTGTAAACACAGAATGTGTGAGGCTGCTGCTGCTT